TTGTATTTGTTTCTCAATGATACGATATGATATGCCCCGTATTGGGCGTATCGTGTCAAAATTTTAAACCTTGCTCTTGAGTAATGGGCCTTATGGTCTTGATGTAGGTTGTTTTGTACTTTGCCCACTAATAAGGGGAATTTTTATAATTGGATATATCTATGCCTCATTTTGATAAAACTAGCTCTTTGAGGGTGGGAGCATTCATTGGATACATCCTCCCAAGCTCTTCTTCTTCCTAGTTGCATGTATGAAACCTTGAAACTCTAGAAGGGTAACATGGTAACAAAGCAGGTGAATTATGGTTGTTTGGACGGTTCAAGTTGAAGAACTACAGACTAATTATAAGATTAAAAGAGTTGTGCCAAACTACATAGTCTGGGACGTTTTGGTGAACTAGGGATTAGTTAGAAGCATCTAAACTTGAGACTAGAGATCATTTTCGAATGGGGATTATACTTGTTTTACATGTATTTATTTCTTGAAAAAGAAAAGTGAAGCTCTTCCTTCCTTTAAAATTTTCCGTGCTATGGTTGAGACTCAATTTTCTACTAAAATCAAAGTTATATGTTCAAATTCAAGGGGAGAATACATGGACAATCAATTTCGGGCTACAAATATTCCCAGAAATTATCGAGAATCCCTCTATGTTCCTTGTTGGAAGGAAGCCATGGATACTAAAATGTGTGGCTTGATTGAGAATGGCACATGGGAGATGGTGATTCTTCCTCTAGATGCCACATCTTTTCGGTAGTAAATGGGTATTCTCTATTAAACTAACTGATGATAGCATTGATAGATATAAAGTCTGTCTTCTTGCTTAAGGCTATTCACAGAAGTATGGAGTTGATTATGAGGAAACTTTTGCTTTGGTTGTCAAAATGACAACTATCCGTCTAATTCTCGCTTTATCTACTCTTCGTGGTTGCTTTATTTTCCAAATGGATGTTACAAATGCCTTTCTTCATGGTAATTTAAAGGAAATTGTAGAGATGAAACCACCACCTAGGTACCATACTGACCAACACTTGGTATGTTGCCTTAAGAAGTCTCTATGACTTGAAGAAAGCTCCTCGTGCCTGGTTTGAGCGCTTCCATCATGCCCTTATGGAAGCCGATTATCGTTAGAGTGACTATGATTCATCTCTCTTCTTTTCTTATGGTGATTGTGGTCTCACCATTTTTCTTGTTTATGTGATGACATCCTCATCACCGGTGATGACCATGAAGGGATCCAACAACTCAATTATTTCTTCAACATTCCTTCAAGATGAAGAATCTTGGTATTATGACTTACTTTCTAGGTCAGGAGGTGTAGTCATCTTAGAGAGGCCATTTTGTAAATCAAAGAAAATATACTATAGATCTAATTCAGCTGGCTCACCTCACTGACTCCAAGCAGGTTGATACTCCAATGGAACTCAATGTGAAACTATCTCATGATGAAGAACTTTTGCAATACCCCACTTTGTATCATAGACTGGTATGAAGTCTTGTTTATCTCATGGTGACTCGCCCAAACATAGCTCATGCTGTTCAAGTGGTTAGTCAATTTGTATCTACTCCTAGACATCCTCATCTCACTACGGTTCATAGAATTATCTGGTATCTCCGTTGTTCTCTTGATCAAGGACTGTTCTTCCCTTCTTCATCTTCGATCTGTCTTCATGTATTCTCTGAAGTTGATTGGGTAGGATGTCCACATACACCATGGTCTACAACTAGGTGGTGATTTTTTCTTGGTGATTCTCTTATCTCATGGAAATGCAAGTAGACTACTATATTAAAATCCTCTCCTGAAGCTGAATATCAAGCTATGCTACTTGTGATGAGATCATTTGGTTAAGGGGTCTTCTTCTGAAAATTCATTTTCCTCTCACTAACCCTATTCCGTTATATGGTGATAATATTAGAGCCATTCCCATTGCATCCAACCGAGTCTTTCATGAGYGCACCAAGCATATTGAGGTTGATTGTCACTTCATTTGTGCCATGACTTCCTTATATCTCCTCTGAGTTGCAACTTGCCGATATCTTCACTAAAGCCATGACTTCCTTGTGGGCAAACTGATGTCCCCACATCAGTTTTAAGGGGAGTGCAGATAGGGTTGTATAGTATGTATTTTACTTTATTTTATTTCTCGTGTGGTGGGCCTTATGGTCTTTATGTAGGTTGTTTTGTACTTTTCCTACTAATAAAGGGCATTTTTGTAATTGTATATATCTTTGCCCCATTTAAAAAACTATCTCTTTGAGGGTAGGGGCATTCATTTGATACACCCTCCCAAGCTCTTCTTCTTCCTAATCGCATGCATGAAACCCTAGAAGGGTAACATTAACTTCCTAAAATTCAACTTCGATGGAAGCTTTATTGGCAACAAGGGATTGGTTGGGTAGGGAGTGTTTTCAGAGATCTGGAAGGTAGATTGGTGGCCTTGTATTCAAGACCCTTGGAACATGGTGATACATTGACAACAGAACTGGTCAGTCTAATGCAGGGGTTAAGGCTCTAGAGGTGGAAGGGGATTGACAGCAGAAGATGATCAGATATCATCCAAAAGGAGAGTACAACTAAATGGCCCAACAAACAAACGTCAAGACCCCTTAACAGCACCGAAACAACAAGCACACAACTTACATACCAAAGACTCAAACAAAACCGGACTCGAGCTAAAAACCTTGAAAAGCCTAGCAAAGAGGCTCAGTCTTCATCCCCGAACTCATCTTCCTGATCTGAAACTTCCTTGTTCCAAGCATCGCCTCTTTTCGTCAGAGCTTTTTTCTTTAACTCCTCAAAGGCCCTCCTAGCAAGCTCTTCACCACCCCAAAAAAAGAGATACAAACTTTTTCCGGTTGTCACCTCTCTGTCTACTAATTTCTGAAGAGTCACACCGTCTGAAGCATTAACCTTAAACTCATTATTTTGCCCCTTCATCCTCATATCAGAATCAGGACCATCACCGCCCTCCTTGTTGGCTAGAACATCCATTCCTGAATGAGAATCCAGTGTTTGCTCCTTCATCATCATTCCCTTAGAATCAGCTCCAGGTGACAAAATACCTCTCTTCCTCCTCCTGTATACCCATTTGTAGTTTTTTGTGGGCCCTGCCCCTGCCCCTGCCAGACCAAGCTTCCTAGAGAAGATTTTCGTCACATGCACTACATCAGAGTTTCTTAACCTGCGTGATTTCTTACAATTCACTCCGTTAAACAACTCATTCTTCTCTTCACTCTTCCTTCTTTGAACCAAGTCTACTCCCAACCTTCCGACCTTCACCTCCTTAAAACAAAAAGAGTCTCCAACGTGTTTCTCATCTTGATCAGCAACATTGTCTCCATCTTTAACCAGCCATTTTCCTCCAGACACTTCCCCAATCTCAGATTCCACGAAGATGTCAGTACCTCCTTCCTCAACTTCCTGCTCCCCCCCCCCGCTTTCTGACCCCCCACTCTCAGTGGGGATAATCTCCTCAGAGGCTAGTAGGTTTACTATAGGGATGATCATTTCAGCCCGGCCCAGAAATTCTGGGCTTGGGCCTGGGTTTTGTGTTCAGGCCCGGCCCCACATCAGGCCCGCAAATTTAGTGCCGGGCTTGGGCTTAATACTTCAAGCCCGGCCTGGGCCCGGGCCAGACAGCATATATTTAAACTTACACATTTTGTGTATAATGTATACATATGTATACATGTTATTTTACATTATATTATATATTTTATATATAAATATTATAACATATGTATAATTTATATTATATGTAATATTTTATATTATATAATGTATAAAATAAGTTTATATGCATGTTATGTCATTTAATATAAAATATTATAGATATGTAATGTTTTATATATGAAAGACATTGGCCCAGAATCAGGCCCGGCCCGGCCCGGGCTCGTGTAGACCTGGGCTAGGGCTTATGTTTCAGGCCCGGAACCCCGGGCCCGGGCCTAAGCTATAGCCCTTATCATAAGTGCAAAGCCCGGACTGGGCCCAGCCCATGATCACCCCTAGTTTACTGAGCCCAAATTGTTCCCTGTTTCTTGGAGTGCCGACTCAGCAACCACAGTTTCCGGTGTGATATAGACCACTTCAATATTTCTTTCAATCTGAGCGCACAGACCCTCACCTCCATCCGCAGAAGAGGACTGACTCCTGACATGATCCTCCTCTGTCCGTCCACCTCTCCTCTTAATTCCATTTTTGTCAAATTTGGTAATCGCCCAAATCCACCTTTCCATTTTTCTTGTTTGTCAAACCTCTCCTTCCCAACGTCCTAGGCCTTTTAAATTTTGGCCTCTTAAAGCCTAAAAAGTTCCTTTTATAATTTCTCACCTTACTAAGCTGGTTGGCCTTACCCCTAATAACGCAATTGACAGTCAAGGTCTGGGCCCCACCTGATTCTTCAATGGGGCTCAAACAACCAAAAATCAGCTGCTTTCCTTTGTTAGGTGTTCATAATTTTGGCTGATTGCGATGATTGGGTCCATTGGGATGCATTGAACCATAATTCCTAGAAGATTTTGTGTTTCTTTCCTCTCATCAACCTTTTTTCCTAAGGCTTTTTAATTGGCCTCCATGACTTTTTCAGCGTTCATCCCTTACAGATATCAATATAAGCTAAACTTTCAGTGTCTTACCTCTATTCTTTGCTGAAAGCAAAACGTGCTTAGTGCTTACATGTTTAGGTTATGGAATGGTAGCTGATATATTGTTATCTTTCAGGATCATTAGTAGCTTAATTATTACATGCAACACTTTAATTCCTAAATTTGAAAAATTGAATGTACAGTTAATTATATGTTTCAAAATCCCTTATTTATTATTCCTTGTTGCACACAAGTCAGAGAATTTAAAAAGTTTCACAGGTTCAAGACAAACGATCTGCACATTTCCCTAGAAAAGAAACAAATTACTCCACTTCAATCCAGCTTAAGGTCGGCAAGAAGTTCATTAAACAAATCAATTTAATCAACAATAAAAATGTACAAGAACACGTGCTAACCTCATCCCCAGCCTTGACGTCCTTAACAAGAATAAGTTCCAAAATCATTGGATCATCCCCTGAATTTGAAGAGCTATCCACATCACTGCAGTTCAGATAATAATTTCCAGCATCTGCAGTCAAAGAACAACTGTCTCTGGAATGAAAATTTTCTGTTAACAGGTCTTCATCAGCATTTCTGTCATATTCATCATTACTCTCAATATTGTCGCCATCATTAGAGCCAGGATGAGAGCAAACAGATGTGAAGTGGATATCTTCAGCTCCCGTCTTGTGATTAAAGCTGTATTGTATAAAGAATAGTATCAAGGGAAACTTCAATCTGTTAACTCCAACCAATACAGAGAAGCATGAAGAACATTGTAAGACAGGTAACTAGCTATAAATGTGATTCAGTTTAGAAGAAGAGAAGAGAGAAAGGAGAAAATGAAATTACGCCCTCCCCCCTGGTGGCCAGATCTTATTTGTACTTTAGGATGGAGCACAAATAACTAATCTCCCCCTAATTAAGTTGGGACAGATATAACTAGACAGGATCTATACTTATAAATATAACAAGACAAAATGACAAAAATACCCTTGTTAACACCCCTCTCAACACTCCTCCTCAAATTAGATCATGGATATCATAGAGCCCTAGCTTGTTACAAATCTGGATCACTCTCACCCCATTCAAACTGTTAGTGAACAAATCTCTTATTGATTTTCTAACTGCATTAATATAGTAGAGATAGTTTTTTTTTTGGGTAAATTACAAAGACCCCCCTTGTACTATGGGGTCAATGACAAAGTCCCCCCTATACTTTTTTTGTGACAAAGACCCCCCTGAACTTTAGCCGTTAGACAAAGACCCCCTTCCATTAACGTTCTGTCAGTTAACTTTGAAAAAAAAATTCATCCGATTGTTAATAATTTTTTAAATGTCCAAACTACCCTTTTATACTGTTCAGTGTCTTCTCCAAGCTCAGTTTCTCAGGCACTGTCAGAGTGGAGCAAAAGTCAAAAACGTACCAACTGAGACCAACAGAAATCAATTCTAAACCAGTCATCTCAACAGAAATCAAATAGGAACAAAGTGCATCATACCAAACAGTTACCTCGGGTGCTATGTAGTCTTTTGTTTCATCAGCTGCAACTAAGGTGTTAGACAGTTTTGTATGCCCTTAGCTCCAATCAGATTTGATGTACTTTTGACATTTAGTGTAAATAAATAAAGTACATGTTTGATTCATGTTGTGTGGTATATCTCTGTGTAAGACCCTTAAACTGGACACTTAAAGAGACTCGTTTTAGTTTAGAACATTCACAGCCATTGGATAACTCTGGGGAGATTTATCCTGCCAAGGTTGACACTGGTGTGCTGCTAAGTGTTGGGGTGGCTTGTCTCAGCCGCTAGGGTGAGACCCAAAGCACATGCAGTGTAGGATTACTTGAATCCTTGAACCGAACCAGATTTCAAGTATTGCCCTGGACCTTGGAGATTGATGGGCAAAACTGGAAAGTTACACCTGACCCCTAGACTCGATCATGATACTACACTAGGTGTCGGATTGGGCTGTCTTTGATATGCCAATCAGTGAGATCCTTAGCGGGGGTCAAAACCTGGGTATGTTGGGACAGTCTGAGAATTCATCTGAGTGGGTGATCATAGTG